ATTTCCATAAGACATGGTGACCAAACAGTTAAGCAGGATGTTAAAAGGTTAAAAATCTCCCAGCTGTTTCTAGTTTGTGCCGACATTCAGACATTGTGTATCCATGAAAAATAACACGATGAACAACACAGTAAAAATATGGACTGACAAAAAGTTCAGCTGACTTTGATTTCAAATACTAATCACTAAATGCAGCTTCAAAGACAATACTGTTTTCCAATCATGCATGTGTTTACTTGTGGAATGAATATGATTTATGAAGGAGAAATAAACAAACAAGAGTTTGCTGATGCTATCATGGTGACCTTTATTTCACTGAAACATGGATCATTTTTTAATAATTGCTTCCTCAATTATTGTTAAATGATAAAAAATTGTGGGCTGGGGTTGCATGAACTTTTTCTTCGGCTTCAACCACCACTTTCAGCATATTATTACCAGTTACATAACAGTTCATAAACTCAAATCTTTTAAAAGGAGCCGGTTTAAGGTGAGTTACTATCCTCAGGCTCAGCCATTACATGTAGTTGTTTGCTGCTGCAAAAAGATCGCGGCAGTGTCGTTAGAACAAGATTCTCATATCTTTGTTATTTCTTCCACCAACAAAAAGTAAAGAGAAAAATTATGAAAACAAAAATGAGTTGCTAACTGAGAATGTAAGAGTAATAAATACATAAATAGTGATTCCTTCACTTTGAAGGAATTATAAATGAATAACTGATTTTCATACATATTTCAGTATTGTGAATTTTAATACTTTAATTGACGATGGCAACTTGACAGAAGAGTTTGGGTTACATGCTCCCCTGTCTATTTTCATCATTCTTCTTCTTGACACTGCTGGCCGGTCCAGCCCGGGTAACACTGACACATGAAGTGGTCATGAAAAGGTTTGCTTTCGGTGGGGTTAGAGGTCATGGCTGGAACTGAGGAGAACAGGTAACCAGAGCTGGGGTTTCGCCTGGCGCAGCGTCCTTTGCCGTGGCAAAGTTGGAGGCTGCAGCGCATTGTGTCAGACCTCAGCGACTGGACGAGGGGACCCAAGACAGTGCGTATGTAGTCTCTGAGAAGGATGCACTGATGCTGGAGAGTGGGAGAAGGGGAGAGGGTTATACACAAACACACACACACACACACACATAAATTACTTCCTCACAAACATTACATACCTTGGATTTGGCAAATTTCATTTCACCCCACAGCACCACTCCGGCAGCTCCCAGCGCCGCACTCTCCCCCAGTGTGTGCACCAGGTCCGTCTGCACACACACAAACATTTGATATTGGTGTGTGTTTGCATGAGAGTTTATGTGTATTTATTTATGAGGTTCAACATAACCTACCTTATTAAGAAAAGTGAGAGTGTGTGTGAATGCTAGCCTGGCGTAGGGAAGGACTGGTGTGGCATGGTTGGTGTTGTTGCCATAGCGCCAAACTGACGCCACCCTCAAGGCCTCCAGCAGTCTGTGTCTGAGTGAAGAAGAACGTCCATCATCAATAGCTCCTTTAAAGTGGGCCTATCATGATTTTACCTTATTGTTACAATGTCACATGTTCATATGCTAACTGGCTAACTAGCATCCTGAGTCAGTCATGTTGGTCTTCTGGTTTCCCTTTATGAATGATGAACGCAGACTACCGCCGCCGGCTGTTCTACAGAGTTACTTCCTCTCATGCAGACACAGAACATACACTGGTGGGTCGTTGGCTGTGGTGTTCACAGTGTGTAGAGGTGCAACTTTTTGGTGGAGACACAGGCAATGTGAGGCGACGCAACAGCTGGCCTTTGTCGCTACTAGTTCTTTGATGTCGGTTTGGTGTGTCTGTGCCTTTACACTCATTCCCCGACTGCAATGGAGGTGCAAAGATAAGGACACAGTAGACCTGCAAATGCTAACCAATGAGAGAAGAGTGTTTCGGGAGGGGTTCTTAAAGAGACAGGCGCTGAAACGAAGCGTTTCAGACAGAGGGTGAATACAGGTGTTCCAGCACAGACAGTATGAGGAACATTAAGTGTTTTTGGAACACTGGAGCATGTTAACATGTTGTAGTAGGAGCCCAAAACACAAGTATGACCGTGAAAATTACATAATAGGTCCCCTTTAATGTCCTGTGTGCAAAGCAGTAAGTTTCACTGTAGATGCATAACAGATAAATAACGGTTTCGTACAGGTTTGGTGGGCTGTTTTATAGTTTGATTTAGATGAACATTTCTTCATGTTTCTCAGTTGTCTGTACCTGACCATCAGAGCTGCATCTGGGGATCCTGCCAGCCGCCGAGGCAGGTAGATGCTGGGATAGAGGGCAGTGGACTGACGCCAGAGCCAGGACAGCCGGTCATTTTGCTTCTTGGTTCCCCTGTGGCAGCGTCCCATGTAGCTTTTATCTGATCACACATGTGAAACAAGAGAAGACACGAGTCATGACAGAAGACTTTAGCTTTATGTTCAGGAATGGTAAACCAATTCTATAATTTGTATAAATATCTCATGGTCAAAACTTAAAAGAGATCATCACTTTATGTAGATCTAATGGTGGTCACAACCGGTCAACCAAACTGCTCAACACACAGTCAGTGATTGTCCTACCTGTCTTCCTCTTGTGCTTATTAAAGCAGGCAGGAAAACCATAAAACCCCCAGAGTCCCTCGGGGCGAGTCCCAACTGCCAACCGCAGCGTCTCCTCCATGAACCTCCAAGCACACTCCTCAAACTTTTGCCTTGCCAACAGCGTGATGGCCTTCTCTGACAAATCCGGTCTCTCCTGTCTCACCAGCCGCTTGGACTGCCTCTGGTACTTCATCCTGGCTCCAAAGTTTCTCTCCCACAATGGCTGCCACTCTTCCCAGTCGATGACAGCTAAACCGCTGAAGTCTGGCTTCAGCAAGTTGGAAATCTGCATCAGTACAAGGGAAAGGTGAGCCGAGAGGTCGCTGAGCTGCGGTATCCCTCCGTTTACCTGCGTGCCGTCTCGGGAGAGGTATGGGTATTGCCCCAGGTGGTCACGGTAGAAGATGGTCATTTTCTGGAAAAAGAAAAAAAGAAAATTATGACCAGCTCTACAAGGATTGTTTTTAGCTTCCTTTAGCTTGTTGTTTTGGTTTATGGCACATTTACTGTCTGTTTCAGTCTCAGCACCCTCACTAGGGTTTAATCCCGGGAAACAGGATTACACAGGGGATACACAGCCAAGCTATTTCTGTTTCCCAATAAATACAGCAATGGGAAAATTGAAATGTAGTTACGTTCTTGGAGTAAAAACCAAATAGGCTGATATGTACAAAATATATGCATTGCTACAGGAATATGTAAGTCCTTTACACCCTCCCAGGAGGACATAACTCGGCAGCACAATTGTGACTTCCTTTTGGCCCACCAAATGTATCTATAGTAAGATTTACCATCTAATTCAGGCTAACACAACCCAATGTCTGGTGTCTGGGATCAGTCACCTGTCCCTGGAAGCGCTGCTGCCGGTTCTCCACAATATCAAAGTTGCCCAGGTCCAGGTGGATGTTGTAACGTCTGTGACACTGTTCGGTGGGCATGTTCCACACCACAACGAAGGGCCGGTCCTGCAGGATCGGACCTGCTGCAGCCACAGCAGGCAGGGGGGCGTCAGGGAGGACAACTCCATGTGTGGAGGTTGGTGACTGACAGGTGCAGGCAAGGGGAGAGAGGAAGAGGAGGAGGAAGGGGAGAGGGAGGTGAGACAGCACCATGGCTGCTCGCCCACTGACGTGTCCTTCCTGACAGAGGAGAGAAATTTATTGATGAGGAACTCTTCTGCATTGGGATAGACTTCTTAATGAGTATCAGCTGACAACTCTGACATATAATAACATGGAAAAAATAAAGACAAAAGAATCTGTTGATAAATTCGATTTATTTCCAGAATTTTTCACAATTGAAAAGAGTTTTTAAAAGACGCATCAGTTTCATCAAAATAATCAAGTCTTCAAAACGTTAATAAGGCTTCAGATCTCTGGCAGTTCAACAAGGCACAAACCTCAAATTCAACCTTTCACTGTCACATAATTTCATAGCAGCAGATTTACACTGGATTTGGGGCATGTTTCTCAGGAGCAGAGCTGCCCTAAGGACAACAGTGATGTAATTGGTTGGGTTGTTTGGATGAGCCAAAGTATTTCTAAGCTTCCATAGCTGACCTATACGTTCAAACAAACACCACCCTTGTCACCTCCAGACAAAAGAGTTCAGTCAAGTAGGTAAAAATTATATCTTAAAATTTTATCTTCTCTTTCCCTTATTGAAAAATCAAGAATTTATGAAAATGCAATTTATTTATTTTTTATTTCAAAGGTGTTACTGCTGGATATGAAATGTCTCCTACTTCCCCAGGGCTTCAAGTTTCAATATCACCAATTGACCCTTTGCTAAGTCCCGCCTCCAGACACAGACTGGCCAATCATAATGAACCAAAAATAAAAAATATCAGCAAAGTCTCCCTTTATATTCAGCAGTGATGTGGTGGTTCACTGTTACACTGTGATCTGTAGCCTATATTTCGGCTTTAGCTTCTAACTATCATTGTCTTTTTAACCTGTTGTTGCTGCTGAGTCAGTTTGACATCCTGGATATATCCTTCAAATACAGACTGTAGACCCCTCTGTCTGCTTCTCTCTGGAATCACTGTTTCATTTTATTTATAATATTTCTTCAGGGAGTGCAGTTAGTTACAGTGTGGGCTACACGTTACTCAGACAGCTTGTCAGACCATCACAAAGGGGCGGGGCTTAGCAAAAGGCCAACTGTGATGTCACAAATTAATTTCATGTGAACAACTTAAACTGACAGTTAAGGTGAGCACAGACAAACTTTCCCTCTTCAGCAGATGAATATGAAAACAGTTTTCTAGAGTTAAACTCTGCAGAATACAGATCAAACATCGAAGTCAAATAACAATAAGCAGAACATATTTTTAAATTGAGGAGGAATTTAACAACAATTTTCTGAAGTATGTAAGACAGATTCCACTTGTTTTAGACCCTGTTTTTTTATTTTCATATTGTTGGCCAATTCTATTTGATTCACTGCTTCACTGCAGATACACAGAGATACAGTGTTTCCACTGCAAACACAATCAGTTCAGATTAACGTGCAGTTTTGTGACATTTGTGGTGAAAAGGTTAAACCAGTTATTTGGAAGTGAAAACAAAGGTTGAGTGTATCCACATGGCCGCCAACCAACTTCTTCATCCTCTTCACTTAAAAAATGTCCCACAAGTATGATGAAAATTAAAAACATTTGTTCCTGGTGCTTTTTTAAAAATGTGTGTTTGCTTCTGTATTTGTGTCATGATTGTTTTTGGCTTTGAGTTTCAGGCCCAGGATACAGGCGTTGACAGGTATTTTTTCTGCATGTCTTTGGTTTACTGAAACATTTCTGTTTCTCTCTGAAGTTTTCCAAACTCTGTTCTTCCTCCATCGCTTCTTTTCTGTGTGTCTGAGAAACCACTGATGGTGTGTGTTTCTGTCATTTGATGTGTGCACATATGAACATGTACGTGTGCAGTAATGTGGGCGAATGAGCTCCCAAGTGTATTTGATTGTGTGTTCGTCAAATGTCTTTGTGCATCCAATAGATGGAAACTCCTCTGGCGTCTCTGTAGGGCGTTTCAGTCAGAGTCTGAACTACAATCTGCCCTGCAGACTGAGGAGGAGGAGGAGCAGCAGGAGGGATGGAGGAAGGTGGTGGGGGGGGAGGTGGAGGGATGGAGGGAGGTGGTGGCGGAGGAGGAGGAGGAGGGATGGATGGAGGTGGTGGTGGCGGAGGGATTGAAGGAGGAGGTGGAGGCGGAAGAGGAGGAGGTAAACTAGAAGGTGGAGGTGAACCTACAAAACCAGCACCTCCTTGTGGTGCTTGAGCAGCCATCTTTGTCTGTGTTTGTTTCTGTGTGTTCGCCTCTTCACTTGGCATTCTTGAGAACTTCAACAGCATATCCATGGGAACAAACGTCGTCATGGCGCCTGCGTTCTGCACCGGCGTCGACAGCACGTAGCCAAGGTGAGCATAGAAGTGCTGCTTATCGTGGGTTGTCAGGCAAAGGCGCTTGAACCCTCTGCTTCTGGCGTAGCGCTCAGTCTCCTCCATCAGAGTCCGGCCGTAGCCTTTACCTCGCTCTGCCTCGGACACCACCACCGACTCTACGAACAGGCTGCTGCCGTGACCTACGACCCGGGAGAGCCGGGCGTGGCCAAGCAGCCGCTCTGTCCCTCTGTGGCCCTGCAGGAGAATGAGGCAGACGGGGAACTCTGGACAGGACTTCTTGAGGGAGTGAACCCGGGCGGCCTGACTCCTCTGCCACTCAGAGTTGATCAGGTCTGCGCAGGGAACCAGCAGGTCCGGACGCCGGTGGATCGGAACTGCACGGATCTTCTCTGGTTGCTCAGAGTCAGTGTGAGGCTGCTCTTTAGCTGCTCCATCCACTTTGGAGATCTCACAAACCTTCTCAACATGTTTCGTCTGAAAGTCTGATGTTGCGATGGGGTGCAGGACAATGTTTAGCTCACCGCCGCTCTCCGGGTTGGAATTCGTTGATAATGGTTCGGACCTGTGGTGATCAGGGTTTAACTAAAGTCAGTCTTCAATCAACTCCTATGACTAAGCGTAAAAAACACAGACGTTAGAAAATGTTCTCAACATGCAGTTCCTCAATTGTGTGGTTAGTCTGATCACATCACAGTCTGTTTTACACAACAGGTAGTCTGAGCCAGGAAGAGGTCTGGAGGAGGTCTGACTGATCAAAGATGCACCCTAAAACCAGATAAACTAGACTTTCATCAACTTAAAGGCAACACACCAGCGTTAGACTGACAGGTCTTTAGCTCAGTACTGCTGTAAGAGGAGACACATGCAGGAGGATAAAACTAGAGTGTTGATCTCCCTCTAATACTCCCTGTTTCCACTGCAGCCTCTGCTGTCCTCTTGTTTCTGCTACACTGTAGGGAGTCATGTGCCTTGCTCACGGACACGTTATTGGCAGATACAGAGTAAGGGTTCAGTGAGGAGTTATCTCTGTGCAGGTCTAGTGCAACTACAGAGCAACCTTCAGTCATAAAAGTGCTTCTCTGACCTTCAGGTCACCATGCAATAGAGCTTTAAAGTAGAGCAATAAGTTTCATTATCAATTAATCTGATGTTTCTTTTTCATCATTATTATTATTATTAATAGGTTAGTACGCAAAAATGTCAAAAATAGTACCAAAAATGCCTATCACAATTTTCAAATTGCTCATTTTGTCAGTCTAAAAGTTAAAGGTTCTATGTGTAGGATTTAGTGACACCTAGTGGTGAGGTTGCAGAACTGACACTTCTCCCATGTGCCAAGTGTGCAGCAGAACTATCTAATGGTGGCCGATGCGAAAATGTGAAAACTCGAAAACGCAAATGGCCTTATCATGTGTGATTTGTCTGTTCTGGGCGACTGTAGAAACAACATGGTGGACTCACTTCGTCTGTAGATATAAACAACTTATTCTAAGTTAACAAAAACAACAATTTTTATTTTCAGGTGATTATGAACTAATGAAAACTCAATTATAAATATTATAAACCAATTCTGCCATTAGATGCCCTGAAATCCTTCACACTGGACCTTTAAAAACCCAAAGAAATTCAGTTTAATATTGATGACTAAGAAAACTAGCAATACTCACATTTGAGAAGCTAGAACTACAGGATTTTCTACCTTTTCCCCATAAAAAATAACTTCAATGATTAATCAGTTATCAAAATGGTTGGCAATTAACTTATTTTTGATCAATCAGCTAATTGTTTCAGCTCTACTTCAAAGCTTATGACTTTCTAATCAATTAATCAAGTGGAATTAATCAGTACTTAGAAAAATACTGGATGCATTATTCATAAACATTTTTACACATCTTGGCGAATTTCTTCATGCACAGTGACGATCAAAGTGCCCTTTGGGGTGGCAGCGACAAAAAAACAAAACCTGGGTATTTTGAAAATAAAGTTTCAACATATCTACTACATAAGAAACATGCAAATACAACATACCTGTGTTTTGCAGAAACATACAATGCCAAGATGTGTTTTGTCAACTGGGTTGGAGAATTACAGGATGACATGGAGGCAAGCATGACTCATGGCGATGCATGCAGATGTGTAAGGGGACATGCATGTCCACGTCTGTATGTGTGTGCGCGTGTGTGTGCATTTGTGCTAAGTCATTAATGTCCACCAAAAGCCTACTGCTACTGTTAAACAGCTGTTTTTAGGACGAACTTCCAATGAATAATGCTCTCACACTGCGTGAGTTCAAATTTCACCTCAGCCGAAAGAAATGACTGACTTTTGCCAAAACATTGGCACCTACTGCAGACACAGCTTAATGATCACAGATATGATGTGCAGAGATAATGGCTGTTGAGAGCTTTTAATCGCCCCTCATGTCGTACAAACTGTGTTCATCCACCCTTTGCTTCATAATGTAACTGGTTACACACCTCTGGCTGTAACTACAACAGGAGGGTGCTGACAGGCTCAGGGCAGAAGGTGCATGATTTAATAATAAAAAGCATAATTGTCTGCTTTTTTAATCAGTATTTCAATGATAAACCCCTGCAGCATCATGTCAGCATTGACCAAACACGGCAGCATTAACTGTAGATGGAAGACTAAAGTCTGGCATAAAGAAAAGGATGGTAAAAATTAACCCTTTCTTAAACATGAATATAAACTACTGAGAGACTTTATAAACTCTTCCCTTGAAGAGCTGGTTCTCAAATTATAACATTTCAGTCCACTCATTTACAATTTCCCTCGCTTCTTTTTATGTATTTCAGTTGTCAGAATGTTGTTCGACTGATATCTCCCACAGATCTTTGTGTGCGTTTGTTTCAGTGCCGTCATCCTTCTCATCAGTCTGAATGGGGAAGTCGACTTTTATCTGACACACGTTACCACACAGTTTCTTCAGAAGGCTGAACTGCAATGCAGTGAAGACACAAAGAATACTGGTTTCTGTTGCTTTATCTTTTTTGCAAATTATTACTCTGTGCTCTGTTAATGTTTATCTTCTATCTATCTATCTATCTATTTTAATACATAAAAATGCTCCTCAGACGTGTAAACTGACTGATCCATACTGTGCCATGGCCTCATATCATATTATTAGATGATGATGTCAAAAGCACAACAGTCAGCCATGACTCTACAAGGTTATAGCCGTATAGTGACAGTTAATGCTATCATACATCACTAAGGCATCAATAACTGTTTACAAGTACAATTCGTGCAATTTTTTCACATGTTAAAAACATGAAAATAGTCTCACAAAGGCAGAGGCACAGAGGTGAGGTCATGTCAAAGCTGTGTAGAAACACTGAGGAGTTTCTCCATTTTAAGAGTCCGTCAGCACAAATATACATTTTTATAAATGGTCATGGCCATGGTCCACTGATCGAGACTTTGTGCAAATATTACAGAAATGAAAACAAGCAAAGAAAAAAAAAACAGCGACAAAAACATACAAACTCACCAAGAGCAAAAAGTTGAAGCCGAACTCCTGCCTGTCAAACAGCTATGACCTTGGTGCTGTCTACTCATCGCAATTTCACATTCTCACAACATGCACAAAAAAGGATGTTAGAAAGATGCAACAGGAAACTGGCAGCTGACTGATAATCAGACAGGCGGATTATGACGGGTTAAAATGTCTGCTGAGGAGAAAAAAAAAACTTGAGTTCTCTTGAGCAAGGCACTGACTGTGAAGACAGCAAGAAAAACTATCTGCCTAACAGACCTAAAACATTATGCTTCTTTGATGCAAAAATGCTTGTGGTGGTTGTCTCCAGATAGCGTTGTCATGGCAGCCTTTAGCGCCACAGTCATCTTTTGCAAGCTCATATAAAGATCAGATAATGTAGTATTTCAATAAAACATACAGTATTTTTAGACTTACATGGTTTAAAGAACAAATTTAAGTCAGATATATGTATCACTGTGAATGACAACGTGAAAGTCAAGTTGTACAAACTGCTTGGTTTGAAATCAGTAATTTATGTGTCTAGTGACTACAATACATTTCTGTACTGTGTGAATGTGTGACCACTTAAAAATGTACAAAGCTCTGAGCCATTCTCATCCCACCAACACTGCCACAGATCAAAGACCATTATCAATAACACTTGATGATTCCTTTCTCATTTGATTAATTTCTCTTGCACAAAGTAGGAAGCCCCGCGTGAGCAGGGCATCAAAAAATTAGTTGAAACTCTTAGTGTTCCTCTCCACGGAAATCTTTAGTAAAAGGCGAAAGATTTATACGATCTGAAGAGAAACAAGAGTGTACTACCGTTTAGAATCCAAGTTTCGAGCTGCATTCCCCGCCCTAGCGACCTCGGTTACGTTTCATGGTTTCATATTACACGTTTTTTGTACATTGTGTCGGACGGAAATATAAAGTATTAACATTACATACGAACCGCAATGCAACGTTTAAACTATAAATAATCGTTAACTTTAACATATACGGTAAATTCTACACGCACGCTATGCTTTATGGGTACTCCACAACCGCGGCCACGCCTCTTTTTTTGAACATGTTCTGTTCTGTTAAAATAAACGTTATGTCTTATGAACAAGAATCATAATTGGGTGGTGTTTAACTGAAGGCACGGATACGAAGTACTTAAATCATAAGGATAGCGTTATTTTTCAGTTGAAGCGCTAAAACTGTGCGCAGGCGCATTAATTAGTTCAAAGATTAAACGTACCAAGACAGCAATCGCCTTCACTTCCGGTTTGGCGAAAATTAACTTCAACCCTAGTATGTTCAGTGAAAACACAATAACATTTATTTCCCCTAAACACTGTATGCTTTTCTTTCGACTCATTAAAAGCATATTCTCAAATTATTACTTTTTTGTTTAAAAAGGAAGATATTTTGTCGTCATATCCATGTGTAAACACGGGAGATCACTTATCAGTTCTGCTCTTGATCCAAAAAATCTTTGGAAACTCTCTCGAGCAAACTGGACAGAAAAATAAAAGCATGTGGTACTCAAAAGTGAGTAAGAAACACAGCTATATAAAATATAATACGCCCAATAATAAAATGCTATAGCCTCAACCATGGGGAGGTGCTCCTGTGTTTGTGTCCTAACGTAAAAACGAATTAAATAAAGCCTGATAATTTTATATGTGGAAAAATAATAAGCCAAAGACTTCATTTAACACATGTAACGTCTTGACCTGTGGGCTTGCCATGGTAAGAAAATAAACTATATTTTGGGCACTCCTTATAAGCCATTAGCCCCCCTCTCTTCTTGGCATCCACTTCCATGTAAGGTTAGACTCCAAAACTGACAGTTGGAAGTCAGTGCTACATGCTAGCTAGCTCATTAGCTTACTCTCAGCTTTAGCAGTACATGCAGTGCAGTGTCATTTGTTAAATACCATGAGGAACTACAAGTTTACTGTTCAACTGCCAACAAAAGTCTACATTCTTGTTTCACACCACACTGTAACGTTACCTACATCTTTAGTCTCGCGGCTCGTCGCCGGTGCTCGTCTTCTTCAGAGTGCGCATGCGTGGTACACTGACAGCTGATCTGTGGTCAGCTTTGGGCACAGCAGCAGCTGATGACAGTCAATAACATCTGCTCCAGGATCAGTTTTTTACAGTGAATGCCGCCTCTTCTGTCACAGGAGGAAATGTTAGTGCCGATCCTCTCACTTCTCTTAGCGGTAAAGTCTGCCGCCACGTGGATGGGAGTGGTATTACATCACATGAGGCTACCAACCTGGTACTGTGGAATAAATCACAACTGCCCTGCTGTAAAGAATACAATATTATTGTATTAAGCTTCTGTTAAAGCTGAAACATTCTGCTCCTTTGGTATTTAACTGATGTGACTCCCCTGTGTAGCTGCATTTATAACAAAGAAAAAAGCAGTGTTAGGCACAGTAAGGCAGGTCAGAAAATCTACAGCAGTGATACTCTACCTACAGCCCAGTGGGCCTATCTGGCCTGTGATAGGGTGTTGGGTGACTCCCAAAGTGCACAAATCTTATCTTATTAGAGCTTGTTTCAGAGTACCAGAGGAGGATCCCCCATATTCTCCAACAGAGGTCTGGAGTAAGCCCCAAATGTCCTCAAACTTGCCACTGCGTATACCTGACCTGTGCAAGGCTGCTGCGACTGGCTCCTGGGCTCATGTCATTTTGCAAAAGTGGCCCCCAAGCAAAGCAAATTGAGTATCTTCTTTCTACAGTAATTACTGCCTGAGTTCATGGGCAGATATGGTGTGTTGCTTTTCCTGGTGTTGTTTTGCATCTTTGTGGTCATGTTGTGTCTCTGAGGTAAATTTGTGTCTCTATGACGTATTTTTTGTCTTGTTTGCTTTTGTGGTCCATTTGTTTCTCTTTGTAGTTTCATTGCATCTCCGTGTGGTTGCTTTGTGGTCTGCTTGTGTCCTTTATAGTCATTTTAAGTCTTGCTGGTTGGTACATATTAATTTAAGTGACCTTTTGCAAGTGAAGGCAAAGGGAATTCTTTGGGCTCCTGGGCCTGTGCCTGGCAGGCCAATTTGCACTTCCTAGGATAGCTAAGAATGACCTGCCTTACTCTGTTTTACTTCATCTCCAATTGGCTTACCTTGACTTTCTTTCTTACCCTTAGCAATCTCATTCCTCTTGCCTTAACCTAACCAATCCAACCAATGAAGACAACAAGCAAGTGGATCGTAGGGAAAGTAAGGTGGGTCATTCCTTCACTGTCCCAGGAAACATAAACTTGCACCCAACCCATCCAGTTATCCATCTCTGCCTGAGCTGCTGGTCCTGTAGTTGAAAACACTGAAAAATGTTGCATATGTGGCTTTGAGAAAATCTTTAAAAAGAAATTAGAGGCATGCATAAACAAAAGCAAACTGTATTAACAAAACAGTGAAGCTGTCTTACCAACACAGACTGAAACACAGTAAACAGGGAGTTTGCTTTATTGCACCACAAACTGTTAAATTAATATGATCATTGAATTGAGTAGTCACCTCTGACAGTCAATAGTTACTGTGTTGTGTGCTTTACAATCTGTAAGGCAATGTGTTACTTTGTCCATCCTGTGCACATGAATGTAACATACACAGCTGAATCATTAAAATAACACTTTCCAATAACATGTTTTATAGTTTTAAGAAGAGTTTGAGTAGAAATTCAACAGAGGCAAGGTTTTTAACAAAAATGTTTGCTTTATTTTTTTCAGTTTTTTATCCAGGACAACTCATTCGAGAATAATCAAGGAGAAATCAGCACTAATGTTTTTATTAGAACTTTTTTTTGTTTGTTTTTACATGTTGTCAGAGATGGATGGTGAATTTTATCAGAATTGGTCAAAGTAAAACAAAACAAAACAAAAAAATAATAAATGAATATATAATAACAATACATTAATAATTAATTCAATACAATGACGTGTGGCATCCATGATAGAATAACAATGGCCCAGAAAACGTAGGGTTTTTATTGTTTTCACTGCTTCTTCTGTGGTACTGCAATAATCACCAGCACTAACTCAACTCAATCAACAACAGTAGAGGAAGAAATGGGGCGCGCTCACAAAGTTCTGCACCCCGGCCTCCCAAAGAGGAAACACTTTTTTTTTATTTAAATAATATTTTATCAAAGCTTCAGTTTTGTATCTTCATAAAACGTTTCTAAAACTTATCTGTCTTCTTTAAACTTTTCTCTTTCTCTTTTTTTTTTGCATTTTTGATTAATTTTCCTTTTCAGAGATTTTAAAAGTTTTTTGTCTCCATTTTACCACAATGTGTCCGTTTTTGCAAGTGTGGTTGCCTATGTGTCTTTGAGTCTATGTATCTGTACCCCTGTGTGTGTGTGTGTGTGTGTGTGTGTGTCTGCATGTTGGTGTATCCTTTGCAGAGGCTTGTTGCAACAACTCTGAGTTGTTTAGGTGCTCATGTGAACGCAAAGCCTGCACGTATGAAGCATGACGATGTGTTTTTCGACATGTGTATGGAGTCTGTGCGTGTATCTTATGTCCCTACACTGCGTGACCTGTGTTAAGGTCATTGCACCAAGGACATTCATACTGAGAGGTTGAAGCTGGCTCAAGCAACGAGGTGTGTGGACATCAGCTTGCTTCTGTGTTTATGTGTGTGTGTGTGTGTGTGTGTGTGTGTGTGTGTGTGTGAGCTTATCAAGGAGTGTGTTGAACTGGTATGTGCACGAGGATGAGCAGACTAAGTGAGTGGCCGTCTCTCAGTGCCTACATAGGTGTCAATGTACATGTATATGTGTGTGAGAGTGTGTGTTCATACCGTGTAGGCATTTATGTATTTGCAGGTGAGCCAAGTACAATTTCTCATGTTTTCACGCTCTGTGTAAAGCTTGTTACGAGTCTGTATAGCCACTGCATGATGTGAGAAGGGATGTATGTCTGCTTTTGTGTGTGTGTGTGTGTGTGTCTGTGTGTGTGTGTGTGTGTGTGTGTCTGTGTAGTAGAAGGCACGGAGGGTGGTGTGGGAGGCTCAGTCTCTCAGGTCCATGCTGGAGCCGAACAGGGCCACCAGCTGCTCTTCATAGTGGGCGATGTTCCTCTTCATGATCTCCTTACAAGAACCTAGGAGGCGCTCAAACGCCTGCACGTCTATTACTGCAGAGAGAGACAGAGACAGAGAGATGTTAGTTGTGTCTGCAGAGTCTTGTCGGGAGGTAAGCACAGCTCAGTGGTTACAGAGCATCCACCACATGACACCTTAAAAAAAAATTACATCAACTTAAGATAAGATAATCCTTAATTTGTCCCACAGCGGGGAAATAAACAGATTGCTTTTTATTTCAGCTTAAACATTTGTCAGATACAGGTAGAAAGACGTTCCTGGTCCCATCTTAAAGGAACAGTGTGTAGTCTTTAGTGACATCTAGTGGTGAGGATTGCAGATTGCAACCAGCTGAAACTTCTATGAGTGTGAACTCCCAGTTAGTATTCCTTCAGTGTTGATTGTTCTGGATATTTTTACCAGGAGCCAAATTATCAACAGAGTTTGGCTGGTCGCAGACAGGCCACTAGCCCAGGACCTCTTAATGTGTGCTCATCTTTTTCACTAAAAAATGTTAGATCTATACGTCCAGGAAGTTTTTACCTGGAGCTGTATTACACACAGAGACCTCTTCCTCTCCAAAACAAAGTGTAAAAACACTTTAAATTTTCTTAAAGGGCCCCGGGGGACTCCTGAAGTCCTGCTCATCTTTTACAGTCGTAACAGAACAGGGTGAATGCTAAGAGTACAACAGACAGCATATGGCTCTGCAGTACTGTTGAGTGATGTGTTTTCTCTGCTTCAAAGCTGAGCAGCTATTGGAGAGGCTGTTGTACTGTTAGTACAGTAAACAGGAAGTACACTCAACGACATGACAGACAGGTGAGTGAGTGGTACTGACAATGTGTGCGTGGTTAATATCGAATGGGACAAAATAGGGGAGCACAAAGATTGAGAGTGACTAACACTATGTCTATGATGAAAAAATACCCTGTGTGAATAAACAAATAAAAGCGGTGCAATTAGCATCAACAACAGAGGGAAGAGAGCCATTTGAAAATCCTCTGTTCATTTTCAAAAGTGACGAGCTGCTCATCCACTGTAGAGCCTGAATTAGTGCACCCACTTTAAAAGGTGAAATAATTGCGGAACGGCCTTTAATCAACAAAAACTACGAGGTGATGACAGTTGAGATGAAGAGCCCAATGCCAATCGTGATTTAATCAAAACTCAAATGCCACTTGATATCTCATGACAAACTGCTTGTAATGGTGCAATTAGTAGTAAATGAATTCCACAGCCGTGTGTTGCTGTAAGGTTGAGTGGTTTAAATAAAGCTTATTAACTGCTATTAATTTCACATACACCAGGGCTTTATTTAATCTTTTAAATCATGGTGTCATAAAGAACTTGGTGTGCGACTCACTGGGAATGAATGGGCTCACAGTAGCACACAGAACAAAAACTTGTGTCACAGAACAATGTGATTATAATAACATAAATGTTCACGTAGGTGCTTTAGATACAGGCATCACATTCCCCAGTGTTGGTGGGTATTATTTAGAAACAAAGCTGCTTCATACACACATCTGAATTCATTATCGTTTTTCTTGAAACCAGCATTAGCACTGATGCTGACAAATGCGTTAAACGAGTGTCAGAGTGTATTTCATCTTACCCACACACTTGACATTGCCCACTGCGTAGGCTGAGGCGGCCCGGGGCTTGTTAGTGACCAAGGCCAGCTCCCCAAAGTACTGACCCCTGCTACAGCGCGTTATCTCCACCTCCGCATTGTCTGCATGGTCCGCCTTCGTCTGCAGGGAGGAGAGGAGAGGATTAAAGGTTAGGAACCACTGAGCGCCTCTTTTTTTTTTTTTTTTTTCATTCTCCCCCCAGCGAGAAGCACTCAGTACTGAGCAGACAATTGTGATTCCCGTTGTTGCTAGGCAAGACCAGGAAGCACTTTTGTGCTCTGGTGGTCTTTACGGGGGAGCGTGGGTTGTCACTGTCAGAATGTTCTGCACA